TCAGCAACCCCTCAGTTATCTCAGTAAGCAAGGTCAGTAAATTCATTGGTTCCCCAGTAAAACTTTAATTAAACATTGGTTTGACACTAGAACCTTAAAAGGGAATAAGCATTGCTTAGTATCCCAAGGAAAAGAATTCTCACAACAGATGGAAAATTTATTTGTTAATGTTATTATGTCTTATCATTATTTAAAAAAAAGAAAATGAGAATGTAAAAGATGTTAAAAGGATATGAGAATGGAGACATTTTCCAAAATAGAAAAAATGAGAAAGCCTAAGCAAGTGATAAAGGTCTGTGTAGGTTTGTTATGATATATAAAGGGTGAGACAAAAATAATATACACATAATCTTAAATTTTCTAAGGTCATACATAGCTCAGACAAGTAGTTTAAGGAACAAAATATATACGGAGTCAAGGTTTATCTGAGAACATTTGGTTTTTTTACCCAAGCTTCATCTACATAGCACACCCAGACTGGTGGAACTAACCTTATTGGATGTTTGACAGCCATACTTTGAGGCCTATACTAATCTGGGTCAGAGGGACTTAAAGGACATTTTTGCCCCTTGCCCTCCAAGTTCAACTAAGTTCCAGGGGACTATGGAACATCTCTCCAAATGCCCTATAACTGTGGTGAGTCACCTGTCCTCTTGTTCAGAGAGGCCATGGAGACCCCACCAGATGGACTTGAACCAGTGTCCAGTCTACAAAGAGGAGAGTCACCTCAGAGGAAACATTTCCTCCATGCTTCCAAGTGAAGCCAGCCATGGTCAAGTAGGACCTTTGACTTATCTTTACATAAATGGAACTGGTAAAAGGAGCCAGGGGCTCCTCCCAAGCCAATATGACCCCTGAGGAACAGATCCTCAAAGGACCTTAAGTGTAAATATAAACTGATTTATTTGGACCAACTGTATGGTCTTAAACACCCAAAAGGAAAGTATAACCAAAGAGTAAAATCATCAGCATATTTCTTTTAAGAGTTCAAGGAGTTACACCTCTCAGATATTAGGCTTAAGTCTGTATAAGAAGTTATTTAGGGGGCTGGAGAGATGGTTCAGAGGTTAAAAGCACAGAATGCTCTTGTAAAGAACCCAGGTTCAATTCCCAGCACCTACATGGGAGCTACGAACCATCCCTTAATTCCAGTTCCAGGAGATTCTGAAGCCCTCTTCTGACCTCCGAGGCACTGCATGACACAGGTGCACTCACATACATGCAGGCAATATACTCATACACATAATAAATAAAATATTTTTTAAAGTTATTTAAACATTTCTCATTGATGATTTTGTTCTGAATCAGAAAGTGCTGCTCAGATATAGGACTTCAAATCTTGGTCTGCAATCCTGTAGTGCCCACCTACTGTAGCTAAGGGAGACAACCAGCTATTGTTCTAAAATGATGGCCAAATTTGTTTTTTTCCTCTATCCAGAAGCTCTTGAAAGGAACTGATACTGATTCTAACCACTTCAACAGCTATCATCAAAATGCTTGAAAGCAGACAAAAGAAAAATGAGGAAGGGACCCAATAGAGGGATGCTTTTGGAAGCAATGGACTTTCATATGAATGTTTGAAAATAGCCCTGTTTTGACTTTTTTCTAGTTCCCTGTCTAGAACTTGTAATACTAATTACTCTTGCTTTTACTTCTCCTTCACATCTATTCACCAGTCAAGGACTTTCTTTTTGTACAGGGAGACCCTGTCTCAAAAAGCAAAAAAAAAAAGATGAAAGAGTACATGAAATTATCAGAAAAAGTGGTGGGGAGATATGGGAGATGGAGGGGAGAGAGTGGGCAATGGATTTGGTCAAAACACCTTACATGCTTATATGCCTGTGTGAAATTCAATACATTTTTTTTTTTTGTCTTTGAGACAGGGTCTCCCTGTAGCCCCAGCTGTCCTGGAACTCACTATATAGACCAGGCTGGCCTCAAACTTGGAGATCCGCCTGCCTCTGCCTCCTGAGTGTTGGGATTAAAGGCGTGCGCCACCATGCCCAGCAATAAATCATATTTTTTTAAAAAAATATTTTGGCCAGGCGTGATGGCACATGCCTTTAATCCCAGCACTTTGGAGGCAGAGGCAGGCGGACCTCTGAGTCAAAGGCCAGCCTGGTCTACATAGCGAGTTCCAGGACAGCTGGGGCTACAGAGAGACCCTGTCTCAAAAAGAACCAAAAAAAAAAAAAAAGGTTTTATGTGTATAAATATTTTGCCTGCATATATTAAGTGTACCGTGTGCACACAATGCTTCTGGAAGCCAGAGGAGGGCATCAGATCCCCTGGAACAGGAGTTAAGAGACAGTTGAGTCGCCTGAACTCTTGCTCTGAACCCGAGCCATCCATCTCTCCAGACTTTTTTTTTTTTTTTTTTTTTAAGGAAAGGTCTTGTCAGAGGGTCCTGGCTGGTCTGGAACTTGCTAAGCAGACCAGACCAGCTTCAAACGTCTTTTCCAAGTGCTAGGATTACAGGGGCACACCACCACCACCCAGCCTATAGACACTATTTTTTTTAAAGACAAGGTTTTCCAGTAGCCCCAGACTGGCCTCCATATTAAAGAAAGATCCATCTGCCTCTGCCTCCTGAGTACTGGGACGAAAGGTTTGCATGTGACACCACATCTGCTCAGACACTATTATTTTTTTTAATTTTATGTGTATGAGTGTATCGTTTGCATGCAAGTAGGTACACCCGTGTTGTGCAGTGCCCAGAGAGGTCAGAAGAGGGCGCTGGATCCTGTGGAACTGGAGTTACAAATGGTTGTTAGTCGCCATGTGGGTGCTGGGAATCAAACCCAGGTCCTCTGTAAGAGCAGCCAGTGTTCCTAATTGCTAATTCATCTCTCCAGCCCCTCAGACAGTTTTTTAAAAAATATATTTTATATTCCTTTCTTCTAATTGTATGTAATCCAGAATCCATTTGTTTTTTGTTTTTGAGGCAGTCTTGCTATGTAGCCCTGGCTGGTCTGGCACTCATTATATAGCCCAGAGTAGCCTCAAACTCTCAGTAATCTTCCTGCCTCAGTCTCCCAAAGTGCCAGGATTAGAAGCATAAACCTATTTTTTTTTTTCCTTTTGGGGCACAAGCTACTTTTTGGTGGTACCACTAGGCAGGTATTCCACAACTGAGCTACTTTCCCCAGTCCCAACACCCACATAATGTATCTCGACTCTATCAAGCAACATTTCCTAAATCTCAATACCTAATTGGACTGCATAGATCCAAGGTAATCATATACTTGAGGGACAGAGGGCTACAGCCCTTCCCAAACAGCAAAAATTTAGCATGCTTGCCCTACATCGGTATGTGTTCTAAATCTGGATAGAGGTTATTCTGTTCCGAAGTTGTAGTTCACCAAAGAACAAGGGTTACCCTAGCTAATGTGCTTTGTTTTTGGTTTTTCTGCTGTTTTGTTTTGTTTGGCGGGGGGGGGGGGGGGCTTGGATTTTCTGAGGTCAATCTCATTATGCTCCCAAGGTTCAGTATTGGGCCTTAGGCTGGCTTTGGATTTCCGAATGCTCCAGTACCTAGCAACACTTACTTTTTATTTCACTACATTTACTTATTGGGGGGCGGGCGGGGGGGGAATCTGTGTGTAGAGATCAGAAGAAAACTTGCAGGGAGTTGAATCACAGGGAACTGAACTCAAGTCATCAGGCTTAGCAAGCAAGCACCATTACCCACTGAACAATCTCAGTGGTCCAAACATGTACGTTTTAAAAATATTTTTTATTTATATGTATGTGTTATGTATGTGTGTGTACGCCCCACAGGATGCAGAGGCAGTCAGATCTCTTTGAGTTCCAGGACAGCCAGTGCTACATAGTGAAACCGTCTCAAAAAATATAATAAATGAAATAAATTTAAGACTTATCAACTCAAAACTAAACAAACCCAAACTTAAAACTCTAAAGAACCAAGCAATCACTGTGAATCTCGGGGATAGTTAAAAATGAGCTAGTAAGGTACTGTGGCACAAACACATCCATAAACCTAGCACCAAGGAGACTAAGGCCAAAGACAGTAAACTTGAGGCCAGCCTAGGGCTACATGGACAATATTTTTATTACACACACGAAAATAAATATATAAACCAAAAATTAAAATTTAAAAGGGACAAACTGAGCTGTGGTCCATATATAACTTTTATTTATGTTTTATGTGTATGAATGTTTTGCCTGCATGTATGTAAGTGCACTGAGTATATGCAATGCCCATGGAGGCCAGAAGAGGGCGTCAGATTCCCTGGAACTGGATTAAAGATATAGCCACCTACCATGTGGGTGCTGGGAACCAGACCCAGGTCCTCTGTAAGTACAGCCAGTGCTCTTACCTGTCCCATGTATATCTGGCAGTAGTCATAAAACTGAAGTTCTGACAAGTATTAAAAACACACCTCTGAGAAAAGTATGGAAACAAATTTCACAAACTACATTTATTCAGTTTCTGGAGTTTTACCCACGAACTCAGATTAGCACTCCTCCCCACTCTAATTTTTATTTTTTGGTCTTTTTGAGACAGGGCCTCCCTGTAGCCCCAGCTGACCTGGAACTCACTATGTAGACCAGGCTGGCCTTGAACTCAGAGATCAGCCTGCCTCTGCCTCCCCAGTGCTGGAATTAAAGGCGTGTGCCACCACTCCCGGAAACCCACTCCAATTTTTGTCTTTGCTTTTTAAGAGTGGGCCCTAGCCAGGCCTGGTGGCACACACCTTTAATACCAGCACTTGGGGGGCAGAGGCAAGCAGATCTCTTTGAGTTTGAGCCCAGCCTGGTCTACAGAGTGAGTTCTAGGTCAGCTGGAGCTACAGGGAGACCCTATCTCAAAAAGACAAAAAAAACCCCAAAACCTCCATTTAAATATAGCTACAAACTAACAGAATGCTGAATATTTCATTATAATTCCAAAAGCATATTAGAAACCAGCCATAAATAAAATGACATTTCTAGGTCTAGAAAAAATTCTTTATAAAACATTACCATTTCTTACCAACCTGAATGAGTACGCATGTGTCTAGTTAAATGAGTCTTCTGAGAACTCGAGTAAGGACAAAGTTCACATTTATATGGGCGTTCTCCTGTAAAATTATAATAATGAATAATTAATATTAACAAAAAATTAAAAACAATACTAAGCAGTATTAACATTTGATTACTGAGCTCTTTTTCCCTACTTCTAGTATTAGGGTTGGGGGGGGGGGCAGGGGGGTTCTTTTGGTCTTTTTGAAACAGTCTCCCCGTGGCCCCAGCTGGCCTGGAACTCACTTTGTAGACCAAGCTGGACTTGAACTCCCAGAGATCTGCCTGCCTCTGCCTCTGAAGTGCCAGACTATAGTGCGCCACTATACCCAGCTTATTCAGCGTTTTGTTGTTGTTTCTTGGAGTTGGTTGGGTTTTTTTTATTTTATGTGTATGAGTGTGTTGCCTACATGTACGTGAGTGCACCCATGTAGTGCAAATGCCTCGGCAGTCAGAAGAGGGCTTCAGATTCCCCTGGAACTGGAGTTAAGGATGGTTTCTAGCTGCCATATGGGTGCTGGGAATCGAACTTGGTTTACAAGTTGTTTCAACTAAGAAACTAATGAAGAGGCCTAACCTGAAGTTAGCAGTCAAGTCACAAGTCTAATCCTGCTGAAGACCATTGAAGATCCCTATCAACTGCATTAGGCCATATTAAACTGAGTTCAATAAACTGAATTAAAATTCAGCTCCAAAAAGAATAATTTAAGGGGGCTGAAGAGATGGCTCAGCAGTTAAGAACACTGGTTGTTCTTGCAGAAGACCCGGGTTCAAATCCCAGCACCCATATGGCAGCTAACAACTGTCCATAACTCCAGTCCCAGGGGATCTGACAGCCTCTTCTGACCTCTGAGGGCAATGCACAACGTGGGTGCACTTACCTCCATGCAGGCAATACACGCATACACATAAAATAAAAATTAAAAAAGAAAAAAAAAAAAGATTTTACCTTTAGGCTGGGAGTGGTGGCACATGCCTTTAGTCCCAGCACTTGGGAAGCAGAGGTAGGTGATCTCTGAGTTCAAGGCCAGCCTGGTCTACATAAGTGAGTTCCAGGCCAGCTGAGCAGGGAAACCCTGTCTCAAAAAAAGACCCCCCCCCAAAAAAATATCTCAGCTAGCAGCACATACCCAGATTAAATTCAAGGTCATCCTTGGCTACATAAACCCAAGGCAAGCCTGGACTATATGGAATAAGAATATAAGTATATTGGCTGGGGATATAAGATCTCCCTGTAGCCCCAGCTGGCCCGGACCTCACTATATAAACCAGGCTGGCCTCTGAACTGGGATTAAAGGTGTGTGCCACCACTCCCAGTGTTACTAAGTATTCCTGAAGCTCTGAGCTGAAACCTAGCACCAAAATTAACATAGACAAGGAAAAAAAATTCCTGCTTCATTTTTTTTTTTAATTTAGTGTCTATGCATATGTGTGTGCAAATGTCTTATGTGTATGCCCAAGATGGAGCCGCGGATTCTTATAAATGGAATCAATCTTGGCTATATAGCTCATTGGCGGGACCTACCTAAGATGTGGAGCCTGGAGTTCAAGTTCTTGCACAAAGAGAAGTAATCAAGTCAACAAATGAAGAATCAATCATTTCAAACTGCTAGCCTTGGCGCACACCTTTAGTTCCAGCACTCGGGAGGCAGAGGCAGGCAGATCCTGTGAGTTCAAGGCCAGCCTGGTCCACGTAGTTCCAGGACAGCTGGGGCTACAGGGAGACCCTGTCTCAAAAAGACCAAAAACAAAAAAAAAACTGCTAGCCTAACGCAGCAACACTAAGCACGATGGGCAGCACACACTTGCAATTCCAGTGCTCCAGGGGGTAGGAAGAGAAGATCAGGAGTTTGAGGCCAGCCTAAGCAACCTGATACCCTGTCTACAAAAAAACAGGAAGGAAAGAAGGAGGGAGCTAGGGAGGGAGGGAGAAATCAGTGGGGATGTTGTTACTTTAAGCTAAAAATTCACGTGGTGATGTAATAATTATAAAATAGCTCACCAGTGTTCAACTAGAAAGGAATAGACTGAGAGCTAAAATTTAAATGCCAGTGATTCAGTGTTAACAAATTTAATACTCCAAAGTAATACACTCCTGTAATCTCAGCGTGCAAAATAAGTCAGTGAGTTCCAGGATGCCTTATGCTACTTTTATTTTTTTCCTGTACTGAAGATTGGACCTAGAGACTTGTATATGCTAGGGAAGTACTTTACCAATTCTCTCTCTCTCTCTCTCTCTCTCTCTCTCTGGTCTTTTTTGAGACAGGGTTTCCCTGTAGCCCCAGCTGGCCTTGAACTTAGAGCTCCACCTGCCTCAGCCTCCAAGTGCTGGGATTAAAGTCCAGTGCCACCATACCTGGCACCACTTTTATCTTTTGAGACAGAATTTCAGTCAAATTGCCAGGCGTGGTGGCACATACCTTTAATCCCAGCACTAGGGAGGTAGAGACAGGCAGATGTCTATGAGATCCAGGTCAGTCTGGTCTACATAGTTGAGTTCCAGGCCAGCTGGAGCTACAAGGAGACCGTCTCAAATACAAAAACCCCACAAATTTCAATAACTCACTGAAATTTATCTCACTCTCTAGTCCACGCCAACCTTGAATTTGTTATCCTGCCTCAGCCTCCCAAACAGTCAAGATTACAGTCCTGCAGCACCACGCCTCGCTATATTAAAGAACTGAATACTCAGGGCAGGTGAGACCACCTGGCACTTGCTAACAAGCCTGTCCTGAGTTCAATCCTCAGAATCCACATAGTGGAAGAGTGAACAGATTCCCCAAAGTTGTCCTATGACCTCTACACATGGGATGGGTATACCCACACACATACTCACATGGACACACAAAATAATAAATGTAGTTTTGGGTTTTTTTTTTTTTTTTTTGTCTTTTAGAGACAGGGTCTCCCAATAGCCCCAGCTGGTCTGGAACTCATTTTGTAGACCAGGCTGGCCTCAAACTCAGAGATCTGCCTGCCTTTGCTTCCCCGATACTGGGTGGGATTAAAGACGCACGCCCACACCTAGCTAATAAATGTGATTTTTTAAATCATTTTTATTTTACATGTGTAAGTGTATTACCTGCATGCATGTAAGTACACTGGTGCTATACAATGCTCACAGAGGTCAGAAGAGGGTTATCAGATCCCCTGGAACTGGAGTTCTGGACAGCTATTAGCAGCCATGTGGCTACTGGTATTCAAACCTAGGTCCTAAGAGCAGCCAGTGCTCTTAATCCCTAAACCGCCACGCCAGTCCCAATAAATGTAATTTTAAAAAAAAGTTCCAGCCCAGACATGGTGGCACGTGCCTTTAATCCCACCACTTGGGAGACAGTGGCAGGCAGATCTCTGAGTTGGAAGCCAGCCTGGTCTACACAGTCAATTCAGGCCAGCAGGGGCTACAGGGAGACCCTGTCTCAAAAAAAAATACAAAAAAAAAAAAAAAAAAAAAAAAAAAAAAAAAGAGTTCGACATTCAAAGACAGGACCACCTGCACATTCTTTTTATATATGGGCTATCAAACACAAAACAGGTTTTAACCAAAAAAACAAAGAAGAGAAGGGAAAGAAAAAAACTAGACAACTGGGCCTGCGAATGTAGCTCAACTGCTAAAGTGCTCTGCTTGTCTAACATACATGAAGCCCTGGATTCCATCCCCAGCACCACAGAAAACCAGCATGTTGGGACATTGGTCCCAGCATTGGTCTCAAAAACAAATGTTCACATAAAGTTTAGTATTAATTTATGTTCACAGCAATGTTACTACTAAGAGCCAAAAAGTAGAAACAACCCTAGCATTCATCAACTAATGAATGGACAAACAAAATGGGATGTTCCCATTCAAAACCATATTTAGTAATAAAAAGAAAATGGGGGAGTGGGAACACTGAAGAGATGGCTTAGCCTCTGAGAGCACAGATTGGAGCTTGGTTCCCAGAAACCACATAGCAGCTCACAACTATCTATAACTCCACTTCCAAGGGATTTGGCTCCCTCTTCTGGCCTCCACAGTCAATGGTACACTTAAACGGAGGCAAAACACTCATACCCATAAAATAAAAATAAATATAAATTTAAAAGGGGGTTGGGGCTGGAGAGATGGCTCAGTGGGTAAGAGCACTGACTGTTCTTGAAGAACACCCAGGTTTGGTTCCTAGCACCCACATAAGGATTTCAGGGAATCTGATGCCCTCTTCTGGCCTCCGTGGGCATTCCACACATTGGTGCACTTACATACATACAGGCAAACACTCTTACACATATAAATACTGGGACACGCCTTTAAGCAGAGGCTGGCAGATCTCTGTGAGATTGAGGCCAGCCTGATCTACTTAAGTTCCAGAACAGCTGGAGCTACTTGGTGAGACCTCAAAAAGATGAAGAAAAGCCAGGCATGGTGGCACATGCTTTTAATCCCAGAACTCAGGAGGCTGGCAGATCTCTGTGAGTTCAAAGCCTGCCTGGTCTACATAGCTAGTTCCAGGCCAGCTGGAACTACTTGGTGAGACCCTGTCTCAAAAAAAGGACAGAGGCAAGAGGATAGTTGGAGGTCAGCAAAACTGTCTTGAAAGCCAAATTATAAGTAAAATTGATTTCTTCATAATTTACTAACTGCAAACATTTGGTTTATATGTCTATTTTATATACCTGGGTTTCACAATTACTTAGGCAAAAAATATTTTACCAGTGGAAAAAGTTTAAGAAGAACTGTTTCACTGGACTATTTATTTTATGCTCATTTTGTTTTGTTTACTTGCAGTGTGGGGGACTGAACCCAGGGCTTTGTGCATGCTAGGCAAGTATTCTACCTCTGAGCCACATCCAGGCCTGGGCTATTATTATAAAGCTTCAATACATATGCTATGGGTTAGAAATCTTACCAGACCAGGTCTTTTTTTCTTTTTATTCCAGACAGGGTCTCATCTATTCCAAACTGGCCTCAATTCTCTTTGTAGCCAAAGATAACCCCAAACATTGATCCTCCTGCCTCTACCTCTGGGAGTACTAGAATTACAAAGGTATATACCACCAAAGGAGAGTTTTTGTAGTGCTGGGA